TATATATATATAAAGTATAAAACTTCAATGACATGTATATAATATGTTAATTTACCATCATTTAGCATTAATAGTTTCAAATTATCATTTAAATAGGATATTTTTATTACGCGATACGACTATTTCACATGTAAGTATTTATTTTTGATAATACTTTGTACTTATCTAAATTAAATGCAGATTAATTATTTTCTTATAAATACTAAAATATGTCCTGTTTTTAATCTTATTATTGTTTAAAATATATAATTATTGAATTTTCAACATATGCAATCGATAATTTTGATGAAAATGAATTAATATAATTAAATTACATTTACAAATTAAGACATTCGAGTCTAAAAGTTCGTGTGATAACTTAGCAGTCTTATAAAAAATAACTTATAATATACAATAGTAAATAAACGTAATAGAAATATATTCATTACGTCTTTAAATCTTTTTCACTCTTTATCTTTTATCTTTCTTATCATTTGTATGATTTTCAATATACATATATACATAGTATTAAAGGCAAACTTATATCGAGAACCATTAAAAACTGTAGCCTATTATACATAATTATTTTGCTTCTTATTCGACATATTAGTACTACTTATTATACTGACGAAAAGTTTGAAAATTACAAAATAAGTAAGTAATGCAAAGATAGTATGCAAAGAGAATAATGGAAAACATAATATAATAAGTAACTTTTTATAACCGAGAGAATCGCATCGTACAAAAAATATAGAACTACGAGACGACAAAGAACACAATCGTGTTCAATGTTGGTTCAAGAAGTACCAATTAATAATGATATAGAAGAAGTAACGTAATATAACATATACAATAGTGTATTTAAAAATTCCCAACGATATCTCACGGACGTCCGAAAATTCGTCGTGAGGGATGCGCAAAGAGCGTGTCTCGCAGAATATGTGCGGAATAAAACAGAAGTCATAATTGTAATATTTTCAGAAAACGAGATTTAAGGTGATGGTGATCGCTCAACGGATAAGGGTGAGGGAGATACAATAACGCTGAGTCGCTGTAGATTTCGAGGGGTAACCGTGCACGCTTCGCATCGAGAGCGACACACGACGCGCTCTCAACGGTTACGCAAAATTACTCCTGAAATATCTCGGGAAGATGCGCGCGTCGGAATCGCGCGGCGACGCTTCCACATTACCTGGACAGATTCCCAAACCATGATACCACGTTCTCCTTACACACCATTGCCAGACAACATTGATACCACTTGGGTAGGAGGAAAGTGTGGAGCAACGGAGCGGACAACCAGCGGGCGGCCTCTCTTTCTCTCTCTCTCTCTCTCTCTCTCTCTCTCTCTCTCTCTCTTCCTCTCGCTTTCCGTCCCTCTATTCTTTCTCCCTCCTTCTCCGGCTGTTCGCTTTCTCTTTTTCTTTCGTTTTTCTCGCTCTTCTTCTCGAGGGCACCGCACAATCGGGTTGACAATCAGATCCTTGCAAACGAGAACCGTTTCACTGCCGTATAATGGTACCCCGTTGAGATCCGGTGGTAAGCGACGAATACCGCGGACGCACAAGATGCACAGTGGCGGCAGCGACGGCAGTGGCACGACAGCCGTAACACACCGTTAAGCTTCCACATTCGCCGTGGCAGTCGTAAAGAGATATCCGATGCCACCGACGGGATAACGACAGGACTGATGTCCAATCGGAGCTGATGACGAAAATCGTAGTCGACGAGCGCGATCGCGGGGTCGCGCGCGCTAACCGTGCGTGGCGCGGGTACGACGCGAGGACGACAAACGATGACGATGATGACGGTGACGACGACGACGACGACGAACTTCTCTCGCGTTCGAGCGAGCGAGCGAGCGAATGAGCAAGCAGGCGCGTCAACAGCCGCTCCGAGTGTCCCTCGAATTTCTCTGAATATTTCCGCGAAACGAACAATACGTCGTACGATATGGAATATATGTTCACCGCCGCTTGCCCGTACTCTCTCGTTGCGATAACTCGCGAATTCGCTCTCTTTCTTTTTTTCTCCCCCTCTCTTATTCACTCTTACTCTCGTTGCCTCTTTCTCTCACTCTCTTTCTCGCGCGCGCACGAGATGCCGCTACGAATGTAATCGGACAGTCGACGCGAGATCCGTTCACATGCGTTTATATACTTGCTTGCGTTAAAAAAGGTATCGTATATTCATTGCTTCGCATTTCAGCTGCGTTCGATTTGAAGCTCACACTCACGGCGCTTATGAGCGCTTTGTGAGTGTGAGCTTGAAAGAATCAAGGGAGAATGAAGCGAATTCATCGGAAATCCGCCATTTTTAGATAATTTTTTAATAGCAAGCGGGATATTTAGCTTTTTTTAAACTACAGATCCCGATTATATTCGTGCCGGCACCGAGATACTATTAAAGACAACCAGTTCTCAAAGTTCTGAAAGTTTGTGTAACTGTTAAAATTTAATTGATCAAGAATAAGAAATTGATAATGCGATACTTATGATTTGTTAGTTTCGTAGAACATGTATAAATGTTTAAAACTTAATAATATTCGATTTTTATTTAAAACCGTGATTTTAATGTTATCATCCGAGTTTGATTATCAATGGAGATGATAATTGCAGAAAAAAAGTTGTAATTTTTCGGCAATATATAAGATATAGCATTAAAAGTATGCGTTATTTATATATCATTTATATGAAAAAAGTTACTAATTTAATAATGTATCAAAATATTTATATTAATAATTGCAAATTTTTATTAATCATGGATAATGTCATCATTATTCAATTATCCCCGGGTACATCTGGTGCCTCATTGATAGTCACAGAAATTTTTCCAAGGCCGATTAGGAGCTTCGCACAATAAAAGGAACAGAGAACAAAGAACAGAGAATAAGAATTTTTACCTATCAGAAACTATGTATTCCACAATACATGATTTCTGATAGGTTGAAATTCTTATTCTTTGTTTTCTGTTCCTTTTATTGTGCGGAGCCCCTTAGGCCCGATTGCATCAACATTACTTTGATTTTAAGGCTTAAAACTCTCTTTGTCTCTCTTTCGCTTTAAAACGAGACAGAGAGAGTTTTAAGCTTCATTCAAAGTAATGTTGGTGCAATCGGGTCTTAATCTCATCGATGATGCCGTGCTTTTATATAAAACTGCCAGCAGTAAACATCTAGTTCGCATTACGTTATTATAAATTATTATAAATTTTTAGTACTGGCAATATATCAAATCAGAAAAGAGAATATATATCAGAGAATTTCTCTCTGATTAAATATATGTATTTAATCGGAAATATCGAAATACGGTCAAGGTAAAGAGAATTAGATCTAGTTTCACTAGATCTTAATTCAGGTTCAACTTATTTCTTATCTCTTTCCAATTCTAGAATTGAAAAGAAATAATGAGTAAGTTGAACCTCAGTTAACCTGGTTAACCGTGAATTGTAAAACTGGACTTTAGAGGGATTTTGGTCCCTCCTCTTTAGACTTTGGAATAGGACTGCATCAGGAATCCAAAGCTGGTGTGTTTAAATAATTTCACGACTCACGGTTAAGTTTTAATCGAGGTTTTATTTATTCATTATCTCCTTTTCAATTCTAGAATTGGAAAAAGATGAGAAAAATTCTACAAGTTGAATCTCGGTTAAGACTTACCCGTGAGTGAATCGTTGTGAAACTGGGCCTTAACCTGGACTCAGGTCAAGGCTGTGTGGCTCAGACCCAGTTCCACAACTCACGATTAACTCTTAATCGAGATTCAATTTATTACTCATCTCTTTTCAATTCTAGAATTGGAAAGAGACAATGAATAAGTTGAATCTCGAATCAGTTAAGAGTTAATCGTGAATTGTGGAACTGGGCCTCGATGGCAGGACAGAAGTTTATCATTTCAGAGGAGACTAGGGCTGCGTTCCATTTCACGCATTATGTGCATGATGTATCATTTTATCTTTGTTTGACACTCGGCGAAGACTAGGATTAACGAGGATAAAATGATACATCATGCGCATTATGCGTGAAATGGAACGCAGCCCAGGTCTCGATTCGAATCTCGGAGCAGCCTGATATTTTTTTCATGTTATCTTATTTCTTACGCTTATTTCTTACAATGTTAAGCCACAGTTTGTATAGCATCTACTAAAGTGGGGTGAATTTCTTTACTAAGAAAATTTTGTTTAACAAAAATACAAAAGTTTAGTCACCCATCCGATTCAGAATCCTATTCATTGATGCTTTATCTATGATTGTATCGATTATTTCACGGTGATATATGAATATTTAATGTGGAAATAAATTTTTATAAGAAGAGTGTACAATAATGCCATCTACAATTCAGGAAAACATTTAATAAACAACAAAGATAAAATGATTCTAAAGCCAGTATTCATAGCCTCATATTCGTAGGTTGCAATTTACTTGACATTGCAAATGTTTCATTGATCAATTAAAAGAAAGAATTTTACGAATTGATCGACCAAAGAGTTTTTTCCCAAGGAAAACAAGAAAATCAAAATAATGTTAATTTTACGTCGTATTATTTTGATTTTCTTGTTCTTCTTGGATTGAAGCATTTGCAGTTTGAATCGCACCCAGTCAATTTTTAAGGCTGGAGCACACGAACAATAAAAATTATGATAACATCAAAATAACATTAAAATGAATCAGAAATGATTGAAAAATGACTTTTAATGATTATTTTGGCATCATTTTGATATCATTTTGATATCATAATGACTTGTTATTTTGCTTTACAAAAGGATCTACATTCAAATTTGCATAGCCATCTAAAAAAAATTATCCAATCACATTTCTCTTATAAAGAGGCGTAATGAGGTAATTTTCTGTATACATTAATTTATGTGATTATTTGTGCAAATTTCATGGAAAAGAAGGAAATAAAGAATTTTAATTAATTCATTTTCTTCTTGTATTATATACATTACAAAAACTCTATGCTTTGCTTTTATATTTGAAACTTTTACGTACAATTTTAAGATGTCATGAACCAATCAGAAAGCGATATTCATAGTCCAATGTCGCGTATTGCGTCGCGAATCGCGCTGATGTGATGAAGTCAGGTACGCAAAACGACGTTCTCATGTGGCGGACTTACAGCTCCGACAGCTTGATTTCGTTCGTCGCGCGTGACACGCGATATCCAATGAAAGTATATCTTAGAATGAAAACATCGATAAAGCTATACTCATTGGATATATCGCGTGTCGCGCGCGAACATCGCGCTGATATGTCGGATGCGGCATTATGGATGCGGCTAGTAAACTATCGACATGAGAATCTTTCTTTTGTAACCGCAAAATGCCTCCGGACTATTGCTCTCTGAAGAAGTGTGAATTACACAACAATATCCATTTTTTACGATGCTCCTGATGAAAATAAATCGTTGACTAAATAACTAAAATTTATCAAAATAATAGATATTTCAATGATTTTAGCGCTTTATTTCTATCAGGAGCAGAAAGTAATTTAGAAAGTAATAATGCGCGGGGGGGGTATTTTGCACTTATAAGAAAAAGGACATCCTCACGTCCTCTTTTAGATTTCTCACTGCTAGAAATCACACCAAGCCGCGCCTATTTTTACATTAAACATTTGCATTTCGTTTATCTTTCAATTCTTAACAACAAATATAAATATAAAACATAGCTATATTGTAATTTCTATATATTTCCAGAGAGAAACCTGAGAGAAGCCGACGTTTTTCATGACAAATTGCTCGTATACTACCGCCAGTACATACATTTTCGATTTGGATACTACGTGGCTACATCCATTTCCCTGTCGATAAAATCATAACTGCGGACGAGATACTATTAAAAACGGTCGACTCTGAGCAAATTTTAGTAACTATCAATAGAGCTCTATAGAGCTTTAAGAATTTTTTCAGAACTTTTTATCAACTTTTTAGTACTATATTTCCTTATTTTTACCAACATGAGAAGATATGATATTAAAAAATTTTGAAAAAATACTTTAAAAAATCTTAAAGCTTTATGAGAAGAAAATAAACAATTTTGTCTCTTGCAGTAAGTAATTTTGTCTCTTGTAGTTTTTCTGTAAAGTTGATAGTATTTGAGTTAATTATTAAAAAATGTTTGATAATTTTTAGCAATTAATATCTTATTAACTATTGCGAAAATTGCAAAATAGTAGAGAACTTTTCTTCTCAGTTTAGTCCATTCTACCCCGGCGAAAGATTTGTCGTTACTTTTAGAACACCTTGTATAATATATAAAGATACAGCTTTGTTTATTTACTTATTTATTATTTATTATTTATTTTTTAAAAGTATATTTTTAAAAGACAATACAAAGATGTATAGGGTACATAAGAATCAACGTAATTAGGTATAAATGTAAGAACTATAATATGATATATTGAATGTATAAAAAAAATTCTATAAAAAATACATTACATGTTTTAGTTCTTGGATTGAGCCATCCTCAGATAATACAAAATTCACAATCTTAAAATTAATTTCCATCGTCATAAAAAAATCGTGATGAAAGTTTTCCAATTTATGTAGCGATATTGATGAATACCTCACGAAGATCATGAATTACTTGCAAGCAATTCACTGACCGATTGTTCGGAATTTTATGATATTCTAATTAAAGAAACATTTGTTAACTAATAAATAAAAATAAAAAATAAAATAATCTGAATAAAATAAAAATCTGTTAAAATGTTATCTACTTTTAAATTCTATAAAAACCAAACAAAACATTATCTCAATAACATTCATCAACGTGATCGCAGTTCATTTCTTAAGAAGAAATATTTCTTAAGAAGAAATATTTCGTCAAATTCACCATAAAATCGTGTAAAATATACCAGTCATCAGATATAGATCAGTAATAATACAATGTATATAATACACAGTCGCTATATTAAAACTTGATAATGTACTGTAGATCGAATCTTCCAGAAAGAATTTTTTGAAAGATATGTTAACGGTAAGGCTGACTGTCACTATCTGAGAAGCAATTAATAGATTGACAAAACGATTAGATAAAAACAATGTCAAATTTTGTTTATAATTGATGTATACGCTTTGTGAATTGTGTATACGCTTTCTTCCGTGTCCGAAGGCTTTCCATTTGGAGATTAAGACTGTTTTTTTGCTCTTTTTAATATATATGTATATTTATTATATATTTATTATATAATATATAAAGTTTTCTTAAAATACATTGAAATAACTTTGCTGAATCAACAATCATGATGTACAAATCTAGAAACAGAGAGCGTGTTCTGAATATGTCCTAATACTTATACAATTTCAAGTGTTAAGGCATCACTGTCTGTACATGTACATATTTTGGTTACATTTTTTTTCTAGTTGAAAATATCGAAAAGATATGAAGGTCACCTTTACTTTTTTAAATGAAATTATGTAATTTTTTGTTACATGATATGATTCCTTTATGTGTGTGTATAATTTGCATATAAAACTATTAAAGATAATAAAAAAACCATTAGATATTTTACATCTGATTCTAGCATATAAGTATATATTGACATGATTGAAATGTTAAATATCTCGTAAAGTATTAATTTTTTGATAATCGTATACCATCGTTACAAATTTTAATCATTTAGGATAATATACGAGTTATTTAATCATTTAGATAGTATATGAGATAGTATATGAGAATAGTATAGAGATAAGATAATGAGATAATATATGAGATAGTATATGAAAGGATAGTATATGAGAATAATATATGATAATAAAATTAAGAAATAAAGTAAAAAAAATAGTTCAATAGCGCATTAATAGTTCACTCATTAGAGATTATATAAAATTAATGAATAGATTATTTAACATATTTACTCTTTCTACGTTAGGTATAATGTATGACAATGAGGGCTTTGACATGCAACCTTGATTGGTATTTGTTTGTATGACGAGTGAGCTAGGCATTTCATATCGATGATTAATGTGGTACTCGTGAAGGCAGATAGTATATTACTTTGTGTCTTGATATTTTCTTTTAAAACGTTCACAAGTGCTCAATAAAACAGTGCTTTGCAATTCTTACAGTCTATAGTGAATATATAATACAGTTACGATCTTAGTTGTTTGTGTGATTATTAGCTATTAATATAAATATATTTAAGTGACAATCATGTAATACGAAATAGATATTTTGCATTTCCAGTAAAAAATTTTATATGCATGAATATATATAAACATATATAAATATTCATAAAAATATATAATTATGTATGAAATATGTTCATACATATTTATATATCCTTCTTTCATTTGTGAAATTACTTTTTAGTGTACTAAAAAAATAATAATAATGAGAAAACATTAAAAATAATTAAAAGGAAAATTTTCGCATTATTTGTTTTAGAAAAAAATAATTTTGGAGAAATGTAAAAGAATTACTGATACATAATTGCATATAAAATTATAGGTACATAGTTATGTATGAGTAAATTTTTTACACTTTTTCAAATCTGATTTTGTCTAAAACAAACAAAAAAAATTATCCCATGAATTATTTTTGATCTTTATTATTATTTTTAGTATATTAAAAAGTAATTTTGTAATTTTTTTCATTATATAATGTTATATAATGTTATATAATTTGTATAATTTTATATAATTATACAGAATTTATTTATAGTAATTATACAGTAAGTTTTGACAGCGCTCATGATACAGTGGACTAAATTGAGTCGAAAAATCTCTACCATTTTACAATTTTCAGATAGTTAACAAGATATCAATTACTGAAAAAATTGCTGAATATTGGTTTTCAATAATTTT